ACGGCGGCGACGACGACGATGCCGACGTCGACGACGACGAAGATGACGACGACGCCGACGCCGCCCTCCTTGCTGGAAAAATCAAGGGGCCCAAAGACACACAAATAAATTTACAAATAAAAGGATGCCCCATGTTTTCCCATATTTCACCAAACAGCTTGCTGAACGGGGTGATGTTGTGATAGAAGCTGACTCCGGCCGAAGGAAAGGGGAGCAGAGACATCCTCACAAAAATCTGATGGTCCGGGCCGTTTCGCTTGAGACATCCTCACAACTCTCGTTTCTGAGTTGGCCAGGATTGGCCGTTTCGCCTGAGACATCCTCGAAAAGTTGCGTTCCGGGACGCCGCGCGAGAGGTGGTCCGGCCCGTTTCGCTTGAGACATCCTCGAAACTCTGAGCCCCGAGGTGCCGTGCGAGAGGTGGTCCGGCCCGTTTCGCCTGAGACATCCTCGAAACTCTGAGCTCCCAAATGCCGCGCGAGAGGTGGTCCGGCCCGTTTCGCTGAGACATCCTCGAAACTCTGGGCTCTGAGATACCGCGCGAAAGGTGGTCCGGCCCGTTTCGCCTGAGACATCCTCGAAACTCTGAGCTCTGAGATGCCGTGCGCGAGGTGGTCCCGCCCGTTTCGCCTGAGACATCCTCCAAACTCTGAGCTCTGAGATGCCGCGCGAGAGGTGGTCCGGCCCGTTTCGCCTGAGACATCCTCGAATCTCTGGGCTTGGGCTCTGAGATGCCGCGCGAAAGGTGGTCCGGCCCGTTTCGCCTGAGACATCCTCGAAAGTCTGAGCTCCCAGATACCGCGCGAGGGGTGGTCTGGCCCGTCTAGCCTGAGACATCCTCGAAACTCTGAGCTCCCAGATGCCGCGCGAGAGGTGGTCTGGCCCGTTTCGCACAAGACATTCTCGCAACTCTGAGCTCCCAGATGCCGCGCAAGAGGTGGTCCAGCCTGGGGGCCCAGAAGACCACATGTTACATATCCCCCCTGGGACCCTGGGAGCCCCAGGAGGCCCCAGAGAGCTTCAGGAGGCCGCAGGACCCCCAGGACAGGCCCCAGGGGTTCCCAGGAGATTCCCGGGAGGCTCCCAGGAGGCCCCCTTATCAGAACGTGTCAAATTAATACACATCCGGTGTCGATTCGCTGTTTTTTCCTGCTCTTGCGCCCCCCCCCCCATTTTGGGGGGCCCAGACGGCCACATGTTAGATATCCCCCCTGGGAGCCCCAAGAGGCTTCAGGAAGCCCCAGGCGGGGTCCATGAGGCCACAAGAGGCCCAGGAGGAAGCCCCAGGAGGTCCCCAGGAGGCCCCGGGAGGCCCCAGGAGGCCCCCGCAACTCGGAGCTCTCAGACGCCGCGTTTTAGGTGGTCTGGCCCGCTTCTCCTGAGACTTCCTCGCAACACGTTTCGCTAGAGACATCGTCGCAACTCTGGGGTCCGAGATGCCGCGCGCGAGGTGGTCCAGCCCGTGACGCTGGAGACATCCTCGCAACTCTGGGCTCCGAGATGCCGTTCGGGATGAAGAGGAGGTGGATGAGGAGGAGGAGGAGGAGGAGGAGGAGGAGGAGGAGGAGGAGGAGGAGGTGGAAGGAAGAAGGAGGAGGAGGAGGAGGAGGAGGTGGATGAGGGAGCAGGCAGGAGAAGGGGGAGGGGGAGGAGGATGAGGAGGGAGAAGGAAGGGAGTTGCAAGAGAGGACCTAACGGGAAGCGAATGTGACGTGGACTTGTCAGAACGTGTTCGAGAGGTTGTCCGGCCCGTTTCGTTTGAGACATCCTTCCACTACTGAGCTCCAAGATGTCACTCGCGAGGTGGTCCAGCCCGTTTCGCTTGAGCCATCCTCACAATTCGAAGCTCGAAGATGTTGCGCGCGAGATGTTCTGCCTGAGACGTTTCGTATCACAGGGGCTCCAATCACAACCTCTCTCATTCCTTCTCCCGCCTCCCTCTTTCCGCTTCCCGCCTGGCTCCTCTTCCCTCCTCCCTCCTCCTGCCTCCCGCCTCCCGCTGCTGCGCCTCTGGACGCACTGGACGGGCACGCAATCGACCTTGGAAACCGCAGTGGGTAAAAAAACCCTGTTTGGGGATAATGCGCTCCGGCTATAATTTCTGGGTTTTTGTCTTCCCGCCCAAGTCCAATATTTTCTCACATTTTCCTGGAAGTCGACGATTCATTGTGTCTGTGTGTTTTTTCGCCACCTCCAAGGCGCAGCTTTGTGAGGTGTGAAAATTTGGAGGAGTGCCCAGGTGCCCCTCCTGGCCTCGTGCCCTCTTGGCCCCTACCCGCTCACACGGCGTTCACGGCTGGTGGGCTCCCTCGGAGGAGCGGTGGACTGTACCCCCTCCTCGTCCTCCCTCCTGTCGGTTGTCGGTCGTCTGTCGGTGGTCGTCTGTCTTCCGTCGGTCCGCCCTTGTCACGCTGGCGGGCGACAGAGCTCTAGCTCTAATGGAGTGGCGGTGCGCGCAGCTGGTGCCAAGGGCGCCGCTTCCTGTGCGCACTCGTTTCTCCCGCCCTGCCCTCCCTGGGGTTGTTGCGCCCCGCTGGCTGGGCTTCACTGGGGCATCCCAGAGTGGTACCAGTCAGTCGCGCGGGTCGTGTCTGCCCAGCGTTCGCGCGGGGGCGCACGCAGTCAGAGGCTGCGACGAATAATTTTCCCCTCCTGGTGGTGGTGGTGGTGGTGCCTCTGCTCTTTCCTCCCGTCCTTACGCCAGCCAAACTCTAGGAGGCAACTCCTGGGAGGCCTTCGTTGGAAAGATTGCGGGCGATGAATCCCGTCTAGAGGGCCACTTCACCGGAGTAGGCCAAATTAAACCCTGGATTAGGCCAGATTAAACCGGATCAAGCGGAATTGAGCTCGATCAAGCTGGATTAAGCCGGATTGGCCCAGATTAAGCAAAGTATCGCTGCCCTCGCCCTCATTATTCCAGACCTTCCGTGCTGACCTTTCACACTCATGCGCTTCGTGAAACGCTGGGTTTTCCTAAGCTCCCCGAGGCTTTCAAAGTTTCAAGGTGGAGGTGGAGGTGGAAGGTGGAGGGTTTCTCCCAGCAGCCCCCTCCCAGGCCCCTCGCGACTCCACGATTATTTACCCAAAACGTGGGCCCCCGGAGGTCTCGACTTAGGTCGGGCCTGCCCCCCTACAGGGGGGTTCTGGACGGCCCGACTTAATCCCTGACCCCCCGATTACCAGCCTGGAACATATCCAATTTCCCTATCCCTGGCTAGGGATTGACTTAGGTTTTGTGGGCGCATCCCTAAGATTGTCATCGCCTTTTGGCGTGTCAATCTTAAGGATACGGATAAGTTCGAGGCTGGTGACCCGACTCCGCGAACAGTGGCTCACATCGTGGAGGCCCCTTGGAGGTCTCCACCCGCGCCCCGGTGCCGGCTTCTCCTGCCGAGCCGCGCCTCGGACGGTCTCGCGAGGCCGGGCGAGGGTCCCCAGAGGCTGAGAACAGCAGCAACAACAACATAATCGTCGATCGCTGCGATTTGGAAGGGAAAAATCAACAAAAAATGCTCCCACAGGTGGATGTCGCAGGAAAAAAATCAAAGGGATCTTAGACGAAACAAAGAATCAAAAAATGCCCCCAACTGGTCAAAGATCATAGAGCAATCGTCCCCAGACTATCTTTTGACAATTTGTGACTATTCCCACCTGTAGAAGGACAGGCCCGACTTAAAATTAGGTCGGGCGTGTTCTCCTCCAGGGGACTGGACGACAAAAACAAGAATCAAAACAGACCCCCGAATGGTCCAAAATAGTAAAAAAATCGCATCCAGACTATTCTTCGACTGTTATTGAATATTCCTCCTGTAGAGGGACATGCCCGACTTAGCAATAACAAATCATCGTCGATCGCCGTGATTTGCTTCGCGACCCCCCTGAGATCCGACGTCACGAAAATGCCACTTCGCGACAAATCGCGACCACAGCTCCAAACCTCGTCGCTCTGCTGCGCTTGAAGAACCGGATCGGCCTCTGAGGGCCCCAGGACCCGCAGCGAAGCGAATTCTCGCCTGTTGCGTGACACATTGCAACCTCCGCGATACCGCTACTTGGGCGCCCGAATTATCCAGGGTAACTCGGGCCCGGGGTATTCCCGAAAAACGAACCCGAGTTAGCCCTGACCCGAGTTGCCCCTGATGATCTGGGGCTCTGGACGCCCGCATTATCCGGGGTAACTCGGACCCGGGGCAGCTCGGGTTCGGAATCCCGGAAAAAGCGAACCCGAGTTGGCCCTGACCCGAGTTACCCCTGATGATTCAGGGCTCTGAGCTACTCCCTGGACCCTCCCGAGCCTGTTTTTTTTTGGATTCAGGCAAGTTTACTTGCATGGCGTTCGCCCCCCCCCCCCCCCCTCGCCCCTCTTCAAGCGAATACTAGCGTGCAAGTGCCTTTCGACTTGCGTGATTTCCGCGCCCCCCCGAACGTGCAAGTCGTTTGCGGCTTGCTTCAGGCTCAGCCCCCCCCCCCAAGTAAACTTGCCAGAGTCAAAAAAAAAACAGGCTCCCCGGCGAACCAGAGCCAGAGCCCCGCGGCGAACCCGGCCGGGGCGACGAAGGCCTCCCAATATAGACCCCCGAGAGGCGAAGCCTGAGAGAGGGTAGTGGTATCCGACCTTCGGAGCTCCGCGCGAGCTTCTTAGGATTTAGACAGTCGACAGTCGAGCGGGTGTACTTTAGATTTCCACGAAGAGCTGCCAATCGTGCCTCTTCTGCCCACGCGTCCTTCCGGATGCTCGGCTCAGCCTGCTTGCCTGCGCGAGCTTCTTGGATCCGCGCCTGGGCCCCGTGGCGGCGCCTCTGGCGCCGCACCTGGCGCGCTCCGCGCGCCAGGAAGGTTGGTAGGTTGGGGGTAAGAGGTTTTCGACCTCGATTGATCTGCAGGGCAGTGCCGCTGCATTCGGGGCGCATGATGGCGGCGGGCACGATTTAGAGCGGACGCCCGACCGCCAGGAAGGAGGCTTCGTTACGGCCGAAGGGGGGTCCAGCGCCAATCCAAGTTTATGTGTATGTCGTTCTCTCTCCTTCGATCACCGGGGGAGAGCCAACGACCCGCTCTCCAACATGGCCTCTGCTCCTCGCCTGCTCTGACCATCCGCGCACCGCCGGCCTGTGGCGCCACCTGCCGGCCGACGAAGCTGTGCGCGCCGGCGACGACCAGGCGCGGCTCGTGCGGGCAATACTTATATTCATATCCAGTGCGACTGGGTATTTTTGTTGAAGGGACGCTGCAAGGCCGAGGCGCACAGGATATGGATAAAAATCGAGCCTCTCGGGGCCACATCTTCATCCATAACCTCATGCCCGTGAGAATAAACACTAGGGGATAATAAAGTTCGGGGTTCAGGGAGAGATAATAAAAGTAGCCCAGCAGACCTCAGCATAATCTCGAAGTAAGAGATGATCAAGAGGAGACCAAGCCGAGCACGTTTTGAGGCGAGCGTGGGGACAGAGAGAAATATAAAAGAAGAATAATACAGTAGAATAATAATAAGAAAGAAGAAGAGGAGAATAAGAAGAGGACAAAGAAAGGAAAAATCCAAAGTTCCAAATCTATCAATTTTAATTTACAAACGCTTTATGAAAATTGATTTTTTTAAGTGCTCGTGTAGGGTAGCTCATGTGCTTCATTTTCCATGGATAATCAACCCCAGGGATAAAAAAGTTCAGGCGAGCGTGAGGACAGATAGAAATATAAAATAAGAAGAGGAAAGTAGAAGAATAAGAAGAAGAGAAGAAGAAGAGAAGAAGAAGAAGAGAAGAAGAACGGAAACATGGAAAATTCCAAATCTATCAATTTTAATTTACACACGCTTTATGAAAATTGATGTTTTAAGTGCTCGTGTAGGGTAGCTCATGTGCTCCCCTTTCCATGGATAATCAACCCCAGAGATAAAAAAGTTCAGGCGCGCGCGGGGATAGATACATATATAAAAAGGAAGATAATAAAAAAATAAATAAAAAGAACAAACTTGCTGGTTTAGCTTGAAACATCCTTGAGACATCCTTGAAACATTGCTCGTTTCGTTTGAGTCTGCCTCCCAAAATTATTGGTTTCGCTTGACACATCCTGAAAAAGTGTGATCGCTTCGCTTGATGTTGCTATATCAACATCGCTTGATGTTACTATCTCAACATAGCGTTTCGAGGTGATAATGAAGTTCGGCCTCAGCGCTCGCCGCCCAACTTGAATTTTGTATAGGGCGACGATCATCAACTCTAAACACTGAAGGGGGGGGGGTCCCTTCATTATCATCGGCATGCAGTTACCCAGTGCGCCCGGGGTCTCTGGGGGAATGGAGCCCGAGACTCCAAACTGCACCGGATCTGGACACAAGTCCTGCCCGCGGCTCGGGCGTGTCGAAGCCCGCGAGCTCGAAACTCTGCGAGCCCCGGCACAGCACCGAGTCGTCCAGCTCGGGCAGCCGGCACACCAGCAGCACCTCCTCCTCCTCCTCGGGATTTCGGCGGGGAGGGGAGCTCGGACCTCCGACGGGCGAGGAGGAGAGGGCGAGGGCGAGGAAGCAGGCAGGGGAGGTAGAGGCAGCAGGAGGAGAGGAGGAGGCAGAAGGAGGAGGAGGAGGACGAGGAGGAGGAGAAGGCAGGAGGCAGGAGGCAGGAGGCAGGAGGAGGAGGAGGAGGAGGCAGGAGGCAGGAGGCAGGAGGAGGAGGCAGAGGAGGAGGGTAGGGGCAGGAGAAGGAGGCTCGGAGAAGGGCGCCAAGCGAGGAGGAGGCAGAAGGCGGAAGGGAAGGGCGACAAGAGAGGAGGATCGAAAAGGAGGGCGAGGAGATGCAGCCCGCACACCAGGCAATACCTCCGCCCCCTCCTTTTCTCCTCCTCGAGACCAGCGGAAAAGAGGCGCAGCTCGGACCTCCGACGGCACGATGGTGCAATCTCTCCGTCCTCCTCCCTCGTCTCCCCCTCCCCCGCCTCCTCCTCCTCTTCCTCCTCTTCCTCTCTCTCCCTCTCCTCTCTCTCTAACTCTTTCTCTCTCTCTGTCTGTCGACCTATATTACACACACACACATATATATATATATATATATATATATATGTATGTACTGCTGCTCCTCCTCTGTTCACGTAGCACGCGCAGCATCCGCCCATACAGCACACCTCTCTGGTGAGCGCTTCGGCAGCTCACGGTTTCACCCTGCTCTCGCGCCATAGTGCGGACGAAGTGCATCTGAACGGATCGGCTGGCAGGAAGCCCAAATCTCCCATGGTGTGATCTCAGAAACGCCCGCATCGTGACCAACATCACAATGGACACATGTTGGCCGTTTCCGGGTTTTGTGGAACTCGTTTGGGGGCCTCGGTACGTCCTTGTGGAGCCCCCTGGGGGCCTCTTTGGGCGGACGTGTTCAAAAGTCGGTGCGTGTGCTCCCCCTGGGACCGCTCTGGGCGCATTGTTGGGGCCCTGTGGCGCCGTCTTGGGGGCATCATGGGCCGTCTTGGGGCTCTCTGGGGGGCCGCATCGGCACCCTCCTGGGGACATCTTGGGCCGCCTTGGGGCGATCTTGGGGGCCCCTGGGACCCTCGTGGAGCGCGGGCAAGCCGAAAAGGTAGAAACTAGAAAGTCTGGGAAAACGCACAGAAAATTTGTGAATTTGGTGTGGTGGGGCGCTCTTCGCAGTGCTTATGGATGCCCCGTGGGGCGTCATGGAGGCCTCTGGGATCGACTGGAGGGGATCTTGAATGATTCTGGGTTCCTTGGGTCGAATGGGAAGGCTCTAGGGGTTTCCTTGGGCCGTCCGGGAGGCGCCTTGGGAGGCCTCGTGGACCATCTGGGGGCGCTCTGGCGCCGTGTCAGCACCTTCCTGGGGGTATCATGGGCTGTCTTTGGGCCGGTTCGGGGGCCCCTGGGGCTCTAGTTGAGCGCGGGCAGGCCGAAAAAGGGAGACACTAGAAAATCTCGGAAGCAATTCGTGAACTTGGTGTGGTGGGGCCGTCTTGGAAATGCTTGTGGATGCCTCTCGGGGCGTCTGGGTGGTCTCTGGAGCCGTCTGCGAGCGAACTTGAGCGAGTCGGTCGGGCCGCTAGAGGGGGTCCCCAAGAGCCCCGGAGCGGTCATGGCGACACGAGGCAACGGGGCGACAGGCCCGAACGTGTACCACGCTACACATACATACATAAAATCCAAAAGCCCTAATAAACATGTGAAATCTGAAAGTTCCTTTTCCCCTGCTACGGCTGCTGCAGCCGTTGCAGAAAATCCTGCGACGGCTGCTGCAGCCGTTGCAGGTTTTCTGCAACGGCTCTTTGGCACCCTGAGGCTCTGGTTCTGCCTCCTCTGCCTCCTCTGCCTCCTCTACCTCCTCTGCCTCCTCTGCCTCCTCTGCCCCCTCTACCACCCCTGGCTCTGCCTCCTCAGGCTTTGGCTCCTCAGGGTTTGGCTCTGGCGTTGGCGGCCCTGGCGCTGGCTCATCTGGCGTTGGCGGCGCTGGCGCTGGCGCTGCCTCGCCTCCGCGTGGCGGGGGTGCCCCCCCTGGCTGTAGCTCGGGCGGGGGTGCTTCCTTTGGGGGTGGCAGAGGCGGAGCCGCCGTCCCTGGCTGCGGCGCTGCTGGCTCCGCTGGCTCAAGCGCAGCGGCAGCTGGCGATGGCTGCGCCTCTTGCTCAGGGGCAGCTGTCCCTGGTGGGCGCCAATCTGTCGGTCGGAGATGCATGGCGGGGGGGGGGGGGGGGGGGGGCGATGCCACGCTGGGTCGCTGGCCAGTCTGCCTGGCACGGTTCGCGCAAGCAGCAGCGCACCTTCAACGAGCCCACAGGCACCTCGGCGCCGCCACTGCGGCGACAGATGTTTACCATCCCTGTCTTGCCGTACTGCGTCATGCGCGGAAAGGATTGCGTCTCGGGGTTCTTCACCCACTCGCACTCGAAGTTCTCTCCCGTGAACACGTCCACGCCGCGCCATCGCGCACCTCGGCTGCGGCACGCGCGCCCGCGTGCGCCACCCGGCGGGCGTTTGGCAGGCATCGCTCGCGCAGGCCCCTTGCGCGCGCGCACCGCCGCCCCTTGGAGCAGCCGTTTGATGCGAAAAGGGCGTCGCGGACGAACGAGCAGGAAGAGGCGCACCGCGGAAGGCAACGGGGGGCAATGCCATTGGCTGCAGAGGGGCAGGCGGAGAAGCAAGCGAGAAGCAGGGGGGGGGCGGGCGCAGGGGCTGCGTTTTCCTCACGGACCGTCAAGGCATCACTTTGTGAATGAGTCTCGCTGGCATTGGCGCCTGCGCCGCCGCGATTCGCCCATGAGAGCCCCAGGGCGAGCGCGGCCCCCACCGCAGGACAATGGTTTGGTGCCGAACGGAGCCGCCACTGAGGCTTTAGGCTGCAGGAAGTTTCTGCATCAACGCGGCCATGTGCGCTTCCAGGTAGAGCCTGCAGGCCTCCTTCTTCTGCAGATGACTGGCCCTGTGCCACGCGCAGGGAGGCTGGCCGCCACTGTAAACTTGCAGCCACTTCGCGCGGGTGAAAGTGGCCAGCTGGCACACGACAACCTTCCCGCGCAAGGCCCCTGCGCGCGTGACCGCCCCCTCCCACGCGCCCTTGCATTCCTCGGTGGGGAACAGCCATCGGCGCGTGTAGCCAGCGTGCACGGTGTCCTGGGCACTGACCGCCAGGTCCACAGGAACTGATGGACTGGCGGCTTTTGTCGGTGTCTGCGAGCCCGCGCTCTCTCCAGAGGGCAGGCAATCTTGCGAGTCCGTCCCGTTAGCGGCAGCCGCCACTGCGGCGCAGTCTTCGCCTGGGTTCTGAACCAGCGGGACCCCCGCCAGATCGCACTCGGACCTGAGCCGCTCGAAGAGCCAGGGCGCGCCCGTCTCGCGGATCCAGTACTCGTTCTTCTTGAACGAGATCAGGCACACCTCCCTCTCGCCCGTCATATCGGGGAACTCGATCGGACACTTCTCACGCGCGGGACAAACAGCGATGCGCCCCAGCACCTTTTGTTTCTTTTCCGCTGCCGCTACGGGATCTGCCGCCGCGGGGTCGGGCAGGTCGAGCAGGGCGCCCATGGCGTCCACGGCGTCCTCTCCCTTGTCGTCCTCGCCAGCCGCCGCTGCGGCGCCCTCGGCTCGCGCTTGGGCCTTGAACGCGTCCACGATCTCCTTCCACGCGCGCCCCTGCACAGAAGCCCCGCTTGAATTCCTGGGCGCGTAGACGAGCGCATGGACTACCCACGGCAGGCCCAGAGAGAAGTGAGCGAAATTCACGCGCCCTGTGACGGCAGGGATCTCCTTGGTCTCCAAGAGCGCGCGCGGCTCTGTCAACCGACCGCCCCAGGCAAAGAATCGTTCCCCCAGCTGCACGGGCTCCCACCGGGGGGGAGCACGCGCGCTCTTCGACTTCCCCATGGACGCCGCTGCGTCGCCCGCCGCGCAGCCGAAGGGAACGAGCGTCTGCGCTGGAGCCGATGCGCTGCGGCGGCACCGCGCAGCATTGCTCTCCAGCTCCCCATCCTGCCACACGGCGCTGCCCGTCACCCCTCCCTCCGACCATGTCCCCGCACTGCTCGTCCGACATCCCCCCTCCTCCTCCTCCTCCAGCCCGTCCTCCTCTTCCTCCTCCTTCTCCTCCTCCTCCCTCCTCTTTCCTCTCTCCTCTTTCCTCTCTCCTCCCTCCTCCCTCCTCATCCTCTCTTCCCCCTCTCCTCCGCCTCCTCCCTCCGGCGCCCTCGAAGCCTCTGGCGGCTCCTTTCGGCGCCAGCTCCCCTCGGGAGACTCCCCCGGCCCCGGATCCTGCGCCGGCTGCTGCAGGCCCCCAGAGCCCCCCCCCCCAGATCCTGCACCGGCTGCTGCAGCCGTTGCAGGATCTGGGGCCGGGGGCCCCCCCCGAGGGGGGCTGGCGCCAGAAGGGGCCGCCGGAGGCTTCGAGGGCGCTGGAGGGAGGAGGCGGAGGACAGGGGGAAGAGAGGGGGAAGGAGGGAGGACGGGGGAGGGAGGAGAGTGGAAAGAGGAGAGCGGGGCGCGCTCCCCCCACTTCAGCACGCCTGCGCTCCACATTGTTGTCGCCGCCGTGCCTGCGCCCCCGTCCGCGTCGGAGCACGGGCGCCACTGCGTCCTCCGCTTCAGATGTCCTGGCGGCCATTTTCGTCGAAAACGGTTTTGCGCTGCTGCGGCTGGCTCTTCGCCTTCGTTCTGGCCTTCTTCGCGGCTGTCCTCCAGTCGGTCGGGGCCGCTTCCTTCTTCCTCTTCACATGTGTGTCTTCCATGATCAATTCCTCGCCCGCCTGGAGATCCACCGTGATTGTCGCCACTGGGATTCGGGCGCAGATGACCCGACCGCAGATGACAATGTTCACTTCCATCGGCGCGAGCTCCACGTTAAAACGCGCTCGCCCCGCCTCTGCTTCAGTGACGTTTCGCGTTCCAAGCTCTTCGGCCGTGAGCTTCGTCACGTTCTAGGCGGGGTGCATGGACTCCTTGCCCGCCCACTTCCACACTCGTTGAGCGGGGTCCGTCTCCTCCACATCGCAGGGCGTCTTGCTTTCGGGCGCGGCAAACTCTGGACGCATGTAGAACGAAGTCTTCGCAGGCTCTTCTGGGCTCTTGGCCTACACTTCCACGTGAACCTTGTCTTTGCGGCTGCTCGCATCCAGAACTTTGTTCTGCTTCGGCACGCATGGCCACAACGCGAGTTTGTCAGCCGCCACTGCGGCTTTGGTGCACGCTTTCACCTTGTTGGTCGTTGTGCGGCGGCTCAGGGCCACAGGTAGGTTCGATTGTGTGCCCTGTTCAACGCGCGAACAGAGCGCCAAGTGCTTCTCCCGTAGCACGTGCAGCACCGCTCCCATGTAGGCCTCCTTCTTGCCCATGTCCCTGGCGGCTGCCTGGCCCAACCACTCCGCGACTGGCAGTGACAACCACATCGCTGGCCTCTCTTCCTTCTCAACGGTGGCCTGTCCGTTCTCGGGGCGCCCAGTGATCGCGTTGAAAGTGATCGTCACGGGTTGCGCGGCGGGCCCGCCCCCCTTTTCCTGAACCGACGTTGCGGTTGTCTTTTCTTCGGGCGGCAGCGTTGCAAAGTCGAACCAATTCCAGTCCTCCTGCGCCTGGAAGGTTGCCATGAGCGCGGCGGCATTTTCTGTCGGTAGGGCGTTCGCGTGCGCCGCCTTGCACCCCCGCAAGAGCGCCTGGCGGGCCTTCGCCCTCGAGGGGTTGGCCCCCTTGACCACGACAGCCATCGCGCTGGCGCACTGGATGTTGATGTTGGGCAGAAACTGAACCACCGCCGAGGCCTTGTTGTCCAGGTGCTTCGCGATGTCGGTTCTCAGGGCCACGTGGCGCGCGTGGAGAACATCCTCCATGAGCCGCAACTGCGGCTCCAGGGTTCGCTGCTTCCACGCAAATTCGGGCTCGATGCACCAGCCTGGCGCCCCCGTCTGTTTGGCAGCCTTCTTGGGCGGCAACCCGTAGGCCCGCGTGATGATGGCCACCTTCACGCGGGGGAACTGCGTGCTCACCTCCCCCACGAGGCCAAACGCAAGCAGGCGCAACATTCTCGTAGCAGAATTGACGTACGTCTCGACGAAGTCGGTGAGCTCCCGAATGCGAGGGCCTCCATCGGCGCCCAGGTTCAGGATGAAGTTGGAGAAGTCGCAGAAGGAGGGGTCGGAAGGGGAGCTCCCCGGTCGGGCACCTGCCGCCTGCATCACGTTCTCGTAGGTGATTGTGTCGCTGCCGTCCGCCTGTGCGCTCTGGATCTCTGAGGAGAGTACTTTCATCGCCTCCAGCTCCGACATCCGCATGGAGAACGCCTGTGGCCGATCAATGGCCTGGGCGATGATGGAGCAATTCTGTTCGCCAAGCATGACATCACGGCCCAGCGCCTCGTAGAGCATCCCATCATCTCCTGACGTGTGAGCAAAACTCCTTTTTTGCCACTACTAGTTTTGCAAAACACATAGGGGGAAATGCGTGTCACCCTCATGGTTTGCTCGCACTTTAGACGCAATCATGGGGCCATAAAATGCGAAACCAAACGGGGTGTAATGTGTCACCGCGAAGACCGCGCACGAAACTACCACATGTTTACTATATGTCTGGACGCTGAGAAGCAAGCGAAATTGCGCATACGAGAAGCACGAAAGTGCGCAAACGAACAACACATCAAACCATATTATAGAAAACAGCTTTAAGATCTATTGAGAATGAGAAAGACAGACCGAGACACAGAGACAGAAACAGATGAGACAATGGTCCGATTTCAAGAACAACACACCTTTTTCGCATTTCGAGGGTTGGGAGGTGCAGAACCCCAGGAGCGCTGCAACGGCTGCTGCAGCCGTTGCAGAACCGCCAGGGGGCGCGCTTCAAAATTTGATATTCATGTTTTGTTAGGGCTTTTGAATTATATATACATATATACGTGTACAAGTACACATGCACACATCGAAACATACATACATGCATACATAACACAACATGTAGACATACACATAAACATATATAGACATGTACATTTACATGCATACATACTAGAACCATCGCGCGCTTCGCGCGCGCTCAGGTTCTAGCAGGCCCCAGGCCTTGACGAATTCACTGCTCCACTGAAGTACTGGGCCACAGTCCACGCATGCCAATCTGCATTCCGAAAAGGGTTTCGAGGAAAATGGCTGTGTATGGGGGGCGGAGGCCGTATGAATCGGGTTCCCAGAAGGCCTTCTGGGAGCATGGGCTTGGGGCGTATTGAGGAGTCTGTTGGGGCGCGCCGTCGTCGTTGTCGTCGTCGTCGCCGTCGTCGTCGTCGTCTTCGCCGTTTCGTCGTCATCGTCGATTCAAGAGGGCACTTGGGGCAACTTTGTGCGAAAAGATCTGCGGAGGGCCGCGAGAAGGCGATCAGTCATGTTCCCAACCAACTTCCCAAGCAGCTCTCCTGTAGCATGATGGCACTTCGAAGCCTCCGGAGACTCGCGGGCCCATGATGAACCATGTCCCCGGAAGGCTTTCTGGGGACATGGTTTGTTTGGGTGCGTGGGGGGGTCTCTTGGGCGTTCCCTGGGAGCCCCTCGGGGGTCTCTTGGGGCTTCCTGGGGGCCTCTTGGGCGCCTCGCGGGGCTTCGTGGGGGCCTCTTGGTGGCCTCCCGGGGCCTACAGGCGGCCTCTCGGGCCAAAGACCTCGAAGCATCGGTTGGCGGTCTCCCTCTGGGCCCTTTCTTGGGGAGCTCTTGGGGCACAAGTGGACGGTCTGGGGAGCCTCCTGGGCCGTCTTGGGGCCCTCTTCGGGGCCTCGTGGCCCGTCTTGGAGCGATCTGAAGGGCCTCCGAGCGAGGCCGTGAGGGGGCGCTGGGAAGCGGGGAAAGCGAGAACGCCTAAATCCTTCAAAAACCATAGGGGAATTACTAAATATTGCCTCCCAGGGTCCTCCCGGGGAGCCTCTTGAGTCCGTCCCGGGGCGTGTTGGAGTCCTCGTCGGCCGTCTTGAGGGCAGCTTGGGCGTCTTCGGGGTCTCTTGGGACCGTCTAGGGCCCTCTCGGCCTGTCGTGGCCTGCTTCGGGGCGGGCCCGGGCCGCCTCGGGGCCCCTTCTGGGCCTTCTCTCTGCGCGCTCTTGGGGCGCAATTGGATTGTCTGGGGGGCCTCCTGGGCTGTCTTGGGGCCCTCTTCGGGGCCTCGTGGCCCGTCTTGGAGCGATCTGAAGGGCCTCCGAAGCCGTGGGGGAGCGCTGGAAAGCGGGAAAAGCGAGAACGCCAAAATCCAAAACACTCGGAGAACGAGTGAATCTCGCCTTCCCGGGCCCTCTTGGGGAGCCTCTTGAGTCCGTCCTGGAGCGCGTTGGAGTCCTCGTCGGCTGTCTTGAGGGCAGCTTGGGCGTCTTCGGAGCCTCGTGGGACCGTCTTGGGTCCTCTCGGGACACTCTTAGCCTGTCGTGGCCTGCTTCGGGGCGGGCTCGGGCCGCTTCGGGAGCTCCGCCCCCCCCCCAGCAACCCCTGGCGGGCACCGATGGGGGGAACAGGCAGCGGCCCGCCCCCCACCCCCGGGCCTACTCCGAGATAGAGAGTCATGTCCCCGGGAAGCTTTCCGGGAGCATGATTTGTTCGGCTCTCGCTTACCGAGGGGCGCCTCTTGGCCTGGTCGGCAGGCCTATTGGAAACATGGTTGGGGCGGTGGGCGGGAACCAAAGGAATCATGCTCCCGGAAAGCTATCCTGGAAATACGATTTACCGAAGTGTCTTGGGGGCCCGCAGGGGGCTTCCCTGGGGGGCCCCTTGGGGGCCGATTGGGGCTTCTGGGGGGCCTCTTGGGAGCCTCGCGGGGCTTCTTGGGAGCCTCTTGATGGCCTCCGGGCCGTCCCGGGAGCCTCCCAGGCCGGAGACTTCAAAATGTCGCGCTCTTCGGGCCCTCTTGGGTCGCTCTTTTTTTTCCTGCGTCACAGACGTGATTCGTTCCGTCTTCCATTTCTAGTGTAGTAATTCCCGAAGGGTTGCCAATTGCGCGCTCTTCTGCCTACGCGTTCTTCCGGATGCTTGGCTCTGTGGTGGTGGTGGTGGAGATCACTAGGCGTGCGCAGTCTCAGAGGTCGATGAGCTCGCGGCAACTCTTCGTGGGCGCCGCGGCAAAGGTGCGGCCCCCCTCGCCCGGGGGGCCCCCGACCCTGTACTTCTGCACCACCTCCTTGAGCCTCGCCATGATGTTGAGGTAGACCGCCCCGGTGGAAGCCCCCCCGCGCACGACCTTGATCCGCGCGGGCCCGACCTTCATCCAGGAGGGACTGGGCGCCTCCGTCGTGGTGAACGCCAAGGCGCCCCTGCCGTGGTGGGCCCTGGACCTCCGCACCCAGCCGCCCTCCAGCGCGATCTCCGTGAAGTAAATGTCCGCGCAGGCCCCCCCGATGCGCGCGGCGCTCGCCGCCACCTTCAGCTGCGTCTGGCCCTGCTTCGCCCACATCGGGACGTGCAGCAGCACGTGCCTGCCCGGCTGGAGCACGTCGAAGTGGTGGCCCAGGAAGTTGCTCATGTGCGGGCCCCCCTTGCCCGACACGATGTTAGGGCCCATCGCCGGGACAGGAGTAGGCGTTGACGTCGGGGTGGCCGTCGGGACTGCCGTCGGGGCACTAGTAGGCGCCGCCGCGGGGAACGCCGTCGGGGCTGGAGTAGGCGCCGCCGTCGGGGATGTAGTAGGCGTCGCCGTCGGGAACGCCGTCGGGGCTGGAGTAGGGACCGCCGTCGGGGCTGCAGTGGGCGCCGACGTCGGGAACGCCGTCGGGGAGGGGGTCGGAGTTGGAGAGCAGGTGCAGTCGCCACACACGGGGGCGTCCTTTGCGATGTTGATCTGGAAATACGCGTCCTGGTGATACATCCCGCCTACGGAATCAATCTCGACCCGGATCTCGTGCGTCCCAGGTGTCAGCGAGAACGTTCTCGCAGGCATGTTGACATCGCACATGATGCAAGTGGTGTCCTGGCAGGCACTACCGCCTTGGCCGTCGGTAGCCTGCACGGTGACCTCTAGCACGTTGTCCACGTACATAGTTCGAACTTCTCGTAATGGGCCTCGGCTGCGCCCGCCATCGTGAGGGCCAGGTCGATGGGCGACGCGTCAGCCAGAGGGACAGCCGCCCCCTCCTGCCGGACTTCGGTGCTGCCACCACAAGAATAATCGTTCGCGAAGTCGAAGCGGACAAAGTTGATGCCGGAGGACCAGGCACCGTGGGCCGTCGTCGTCGAGAACGACCAGGCGGACGCGGTGTCCCCCAGCGGCGTGCAGCAGCCGCTCTCTCTCTCTCTCTCTCTTTCTCTCTCTCTTTCTCTCTCTCTCTCTCTGCGGGAGGGTGCACTCCGCCGGCGTGGCCGCCGCCGCCGCGCCGCGGCCACGCCGCGCAGTCGAGTTGGAGTCCTGGCGTCTCGACCATGCGGACGGCGCGTGGCTGGCCACGGGCTCCAGCCTCGGCGGCGCGGACGGCGCGTGGTCGGCCACGGGCTTCAGCCAGCGCGCCGCAAGTGGGGCGAAGGCCGGCGAGCGCGAGAAGCCAGGCCGCCGAGATGCCCGTGGGGGCCTCAACATCTGATACGTAGGTATGTGGTGGTGTGACAGTGAGTGGGCGGGCCTGGCAGCCCCGCGCCATGGCGCATCGGCTTGAGCCAAAATGGCTACGGAGGGCCCTCGTGGGTCGCTCTTGGGGCTCTCTTGGGGCGCTCTCGAGATCCTCTTGACTTATCTGGGGAGCCTCCTGGACCGTCTCTGGGCATTCTTGGGAGCCTCTTCGGCCGTCTTGGAGCGATCTGAAGGGCCTCTGACGCGGTCCGGGACCGTGGGGAGGCGGAACATGGGAGAGAGCAAGCTTCAGAAACCATTGGAAAAATGGATGACTTTCGGCGTCTGGGGCCCTTTGGAGGGGCCTCTGGAGGCGCTCTTGGGGCGTTTTGGCGGCGTCGTCGGCCGTCTTGAGGCCATCTTCGGCGTGTCCGGGGCCTCTGGGGGCTGTCTATGGGCGTCCTGAGAAAGCGGGAATCATGTTCCTGGAGACGCTTCCAAGAACATAATTTCGAGCGAGGCTCTCTTGAGCCTCCCCGAGGTCGTCTTGAGGGCCTCCTGGGCCGGCTTTGGGGCGTCTTGGGCCGTCTCGAGGGGTTCCATGAGCCCCACAGGCCGACCCTTTTGGGCCGTCTGGGGCCCTCTTGGGTCTCTCTTGAGCTGTGTTGGGGCTCCGCGGGGGCGTCTGGGGCACTATGAAGACGAAGCCAGCGAGTATGCTGAAAATGTACGTTTTACGATGGGAAGGGGCCGATGTTTGCCTCTTGAAGGCCCTCTTGGGGCCCTCGTCGGCCATCTTCAAGCCATCTCGGGCCCTTTTGGGGCGCTATTGGGCGTCTTCGGGGCCTCTTGAGGCTTTCTTGGCCATCTGTACGGCCCGCGTGGCCTGTCGTGGGCAATTTGGAAGCGGCCCAGGGCACTCCCAGAAGTTTGTGACCCCCAAAAAGTTCGGGGGGGCGCCCATGGGGGAAGATGGCACCGGTTTTGGCCCCTCTCCCAGCCTACTCCGATATATGCGTATATATATGAAGATATACATATACATATAAACGTATACATATATATATGCATATATGTATGTATGTATGTATGTATGTATGTATGTCTGTCTGTCTGTCTGTCTGTATGTATGTATGTATGTTTGTACATATGCATACATACATACATGCATGCATGCATACATACACACATACATATATACACATACATACATACATACATACGTGCATACATGCATGCATGCATGCATGCATACATACATACACCTATACACATACATGCATTCACCAATACATACACACATTCTAACATACATACATACAGACAGGCAGACGGACATACGGACATACACATACACATACATTTACACCTACATCTACATGCATGCATACATTCATAAAACATTCCATCATACACATATGCACACATACCTACCTACATACATATATAAGTATACATACATACACACTTACATTCATACATGCATACACTCGTACACGTTCGCATGCACATACATACAGACATGTGTACATACATACATACATAGATACACGCATCCATACATACATAAACACAACTATGCATGCATACATACGTACATCAAGACACACATACATAAATACACATTCTTCCATGCATGCATACATACTTACATGCATACACGCATACATATTTATATACACCTACGTACCTGCATGCATGCACGAACACATCCATAAATGTTGCATAATGCATGTACGGGTCCACATACATGTATACATGCATGCACCCATATATATATATATATACACACATACATATATGCATCCGCATTTACATACATTCATACACACATACATACATGCATACATCCTGCGTCCACATACGCATACACATATTTCCATGCAAATGCAGACATGCATGTATACACACATACACGTATATGCACACATATGCATACATACATTCATCCGTACATCCGTCCATACCTTTATACAAACCCACATATGCATGTATATGCATTATGTGTATACACATGTGCGCAGCCCCTCTCCCGCGCCCGTGCATGTTGCATCGGTATTTGAAAACTTCAATCATACTCTTACTGATGATCCGACTTCTTGTCAGCCCTGCCTACTCATGCATCTATCCGATTCCACATGTATCCGCTGTGTTCTCGCGCTGGAATCTAAGTGGAATGAACTGGATCTTGGTTCTGCGAAATTCTGGCTAGATTCTGAATATATTTGTGAAAAGGGTTCAACTTGGAGCCGGCTGGATGTGGGACCCGCTGCACCCCAACTAGTTTGCAAGTGTATTACAATCATCATCTAGTCAGCTGGAATCTGAATCTGCCTCTCTCTCTCTGTCTCTGTCTGTCTCTTTCTCTCTCTCTCTCTCTCTCTCGTTCTCGCCCAGACACCCAACACATCCCCTGCGAAACCACAAGGTTTGCCATGTCAGGGGTTTGGAAACCTTGTGTGTTTCATGTGGTTGTTGGAGTTTTCTGGGATGAGAAGTGAGGAAACCATGTGTTGTCATTTGGATGCTGTATCATGTGCGACAGTGCCCTTCCTCCAGCGAAAATCCAACCCAGGAGCTGCCCCAGGAGCTCCGGCCCCAGAATCCCAAGCATCAGAATACAGCGAATGAAAACGCATGGTGTCTTAAATTCTCATCCCAGGAACCCCAAACATTAAAATGAAAGCACATGGTTGCTGCACCCCTGACATCGCAAACCTCGTGTTTTCATTTGGATGTTTGGATTTCTGGGATGAGAAGTGCGCATGCCATGCTCGGTGTATGTGTTTTTGTTGTTGGATCTTGGGGATTATGGGGGTCGGATCTCTTTGGAGGGCTCCTGAACTTGATGTTCGCTGGAGAGAGGTGAATCCCACAAAGCAGACAATTAACACCAAACAAAAACACATGGTTCCCTCACTTCTTATCCCAGGAATCCAGAACATCCCAGCGAAAACAGGTCTCCGCACCCTAGACATCGCGAACCTCGTGGTTTCACAAGGATCGTGATGGGTGCCTTGGAGAGAGAGAGAGAGAGAGATAAAGAAAGAGAGAGAGAGAGAGGGAGAGAGAGAGAGATGGAAATACAACAAAACAACAACACAAGAGGAAGAGAAAAGGAGAGAGAAGGAAAGAGAGAGAGAGAGAGAAACAACAATAAAGAAGCATAGGAAGCGAGAAAGACAATGATGATGAGGAAAAGAAGAGCACCGCCGTCGTAAGTGAATGCTGGTAGGCATGGGTGCTGGGGGGATCTGTCCCCACACATGCACATATATACACATGTGTATGCATGCATGGAGGCATGCATATATGCGTGGTATGCATGTATGTAGTTATGCCTGGATGTATGTGTGCATGTATGTATGTATGCATGCATGTACGTATGCATGCATGCATGCATGCATGCATATATGTATGTATGTGTAGGTATGTGTGTATGCCTGTATGCATACATGTGTGCATGTATGTGTGAATGTGTGTGTATGTATGAAGCTACGAACGACTGCATGCACGCACGTCTGCACGAACGCCTTCCAACCCGGAACGGAGAGAGAAACAGAAACACCGCTCCTCCTCGCCGTCCTCCCCCGCAGCGGCCCAGGCCGGCTGCATGGGCCGCTCGCCCGGGCGGGCGCGCGGCCGGGCGGACGCATCGGGGGAGGCGCAGACCGGACCCGGGGCGCCGGCCGAGCCGAGGCGGCGGCTGCGGCACGCGCCCGGCCACCTCCCGAGGAAGGGCTTCGACATACAGTCAGAAACCCTAATATTATGTCAGGCGTCCCCCTACAGGGGGATTTTCGGCGAAAAGTAAAAAATATTCCTGGAAGGTCAAAAAATACGCAAAAAAGAATCCCCAGACTATTTTTGTATTATCTTTTGACTCTTTTGGGGGTATTTTTGTTTTTCGTCGAAAATCCCCCTGTAGGGGGACAGACCCGACTTAACCCTAAGAAGGACGCGCGGTAAGGATTCAAGACCCCTGGAAACCGAGGTTGGGATTTCTGGGGCGGCGGCCGACGAACACCTCAAGGACGCAAGAGCAAGGAAGAGCAAGGGCGCAAGGGTACCCTGAGCAAAGTCGCGCGTCCTTATTAGGGCTTTTGACTGTACCCCGAGATCCCGACGCTGCATGTTTTCCAACCGCCGAAGGGAACTCCACCGAAGGCCTCAGCGGCTGCGTTCGCACGGTGGCCACGCCCCACTTCCGCCCCCCTCGCTCGCTCCGTGGCCTTACTGGGTTTTTCACCGAAGGCCCCAGTGGCTGCGATCACATGGCGGCCCCACTCCGTTACGGCACACTCCTACTATGGTTCGTAGATGCCTGATAAGGGTTGGGATCTTGCCCGTGATGACTTCACACCTTGCATTGTCGCTGGGTTTCGGGCCCCGGGCAAATCACCTCCGGCTCGAGAAATGCAGCAGAACGATGGGGGCCTGGGGCTCTGGTCGCGATGTTCTGCGATGTTGCATTTTTGTCAGTGGCGTCTGATCTGAAGGGTGCAAGCATCGGTCTCCCATTGAGGGACGCCAGGTGAGGGAACGAAGCGGACTCTTCTGGCCGCGGCGAGCATCGGCCACGGACAGGCTCCTTGGCTGGGGCCTCCCACGTGCGGGCGGATCAGATGGAGTCGGAGGATCGCGCCACATCGCCGAACGACGGCGGTGCGGTGCGATCCTCTGAGCCCATCAACTTGGCTGCGCCAGGATGCACATCGGCATCCTGCAATCATCGGGCCGCACCGGAACGTCCGAACCTCGGAATCGAATCGGATCGTGAGGGTCGGAATCGACGAATCGCACCGGTCGGATTGGAATGGGCCCTGACTCGGGGTCGCCCGAAGCTCCGCCGACCCCTTTCACCGAGGCTGGTTTCTCACCCCGAACTATTCTTGACCGTCTAGATCGGGAGCGGCCAAAAGGGGGGGGTCCAAGAGGGGGGGGGGGGGGGGGGGCAAATCATGACCGGCGGCATGTGCGCGGCCCAGCGGGCGGGCCAGGGAGATAATGAAATAAGAAGAGGCGCCATGGAATGTGGGGAAATATCATGGCCCACGCCATGATATCCCCCCCCTCTTTTCCGCCCCCGACTAGAACCCATCAAAAAAAACCCTGAGGCCGGAAACTGGCAGAAACCTCCATCGTGTTTTTTTTCACGTGGCGAGCACGTCTTGGCCCCGAACCCGCTGGCTGCATCCTTCCTCTGGCCCGGCCCGCCTCCGTGGATGCCCATCCCGGCGGGCTCCCGAGGCGACGGGGGGCGCAGGTCGAGGAGAAGCGTGCTGCGGGCGCCGCGCCTGCACCTACTTAATTGAAGGGGCCCCAGGACACGCAAAGAAATACACACAAATAGAAATACTCCCCGTATTTTCTTGTATTTTTTGGTTTTCGTCTTCCCCCCCACTTCCTATATTTGTTCAACATTTTCTGGGGAATCGAAGATTAATTGTGTCTGTGTGTTTCTGCTCCTCATGATTAATCATCTCTCGCAGAAGGAATCCGAGGAAAGACTTCGGCATGCGTCCTTCTGGCGCGGACGGCACCCATGGCAGCGGGCGCGCCATGGTTGGAGTCCCTGCGGCCGCGCTCCGGCGCGGTAGGGTGCACCACCTGTGCGGCCGTGGAGGCCGAAAGCCCGAGGCCCATGCCTGGGTCGGGGATCGATGACCACTCGGGCCACGCCAGAGCGGCACGGTGCACGCAGGCAGCTCGCGGGCACTGGATTTGCCAATTCGAAACCTCCTGCGTGGGAGGCTCTGGTGCGGCCGAAGCTGGACAGATCTCGCGCGCCACGGGCGGGGGCTGCGGCCGAGGCGGGCGCCGCCCCCTGGCGAGGCCGAAAGCGAAGGCGCCTGCACCCCGCTCGGGCGCGAGGCGGTCCGCGGCTGGCTGCTCGATGAAACCCTATACGCCGCCAAGCTGATCCTGGGCAGGCTGTGCTGCCCGGCGGAATAGGATGATGAGTGGAAAATCAATCAGACGACGACGAACGCGCAGGTGGGAGGCCATGGCCGGCTGGGCGGGCGTGTAGGCGGAAGAGGGCCAGGGGCAGGAGGGGAAAAAAAGGAATGGAAGCAACGAAACGGAGGAAAGGGGAAACAACGGCAAGCAGACAGGCGGGGCCAGGGGCAGGGAGCGAAGGGCAACCCGACACGAGGGTGGAGTGGGTGGCGGGCGTCGGCGGGGGGGGGCTGTATGCAGTCGTCAGGAAGGGCCGTCGGGGTCGTCTGGGGGCGGCGCGGGGTGGCCGACCGAGCCCAGCACGCTGCGGCTTGGCGGGGGGAGCCATTTGCGGGATCACCTAACGCCCCGCTGGGAAGGGCCTGACGGCGAGCGTGGAAAGGGAGGGGGGGGCAAGGAACCGCCAGCGCGACGCTGGCGGAAGGGCGCGGGGGGCGTCCGTGCTGCCCAGCAAAGGCGGGGTGGGTGGGCGGGCGGCGCCTGCTACCGCCGGGGATGCCTCACATGGCGTCCGACGTGGTGGAGCCAGCCGCGGCCGCGGCCAGACGGGGCGCTTCCACCCCCGCCCCTCCAGAGAGCGTCTGGAGGCGCCGCAACGCCGCCCGCGCGTTCTCCCTGCGCAAGGAAACGGAAAGTCGCCGGGCGTGTTGGTCCGCAACCACTGCGGCGCAACCACTGCCCGGCTAGGACCCCGAAGGCCCTGCGTGCCTCGCGGCCCCACCCGCCGCCGCGGGCTTTTATCACAATGAAGAGGAATGCGCAGCGCAAGGCCGCGGGGTGTCCTAGTGTTGCCTTTTGGACTCTTTGTGCCGCTCCGTCGCCGCGCTCGACGAAGCAGCCGACGCAGCGACGAGATCGGCGCGCAGCTCAGACGCGGCGACAAATTCCCAGGCGGCCGCCGTACTGTTACGCCACCTTGGAAGGTAGAGGTCGGCAGGACGGCGGCCAGTGTCGTCCACATGGGACCCGCCCTGCTCGCTCCAGGGGGATGGCCTCCCCAGCTGGGCGCGGAAGTAGCAGCCCAGGGCGCTCCATCTCCGCTCCGGCGTGGCCAGCGGCAAGGGCGTCGAAGAAGTCCTGGCTCGCCTCGCCACAAGCTGGTCAAAAGCACTCCTCCTGCAGAAGCTGGACTCGCAGCCGCCTCTGCAGGCCGACCTGCATGAGGCCGCGCGGGAAGGCGGCGCCAGTACCCTCGCCAAGCGGCACCCGGAGCCACGTGGCAACACTCGGGGCCTGCACCAGGGAGAGGTGCGCCCTGCCGGCCAGGGTGGCGCCCGCCAGAAGCCCGTCAAGCGCGGCGCTGTCCACCGCATCGGAAAAGGTTTTCTGGTCGCCGTGATTCGCGCGGTCGAACACCGCCCGGCCGGCGTCCCGCACGATTGCGTTGTGGGCCTGCACCGCAGCGGTCAGGTTGCCTCTGTCGCGGTCAGCGCCGTTGGAGTAGCCAGGGTAGAGCTGCCGACAGAGGTCGGCGCTCTTTGCTTGGGAATCGATGGCGGCAGCGGCGGCGGTCGAGCTTGAGCTGAGCCTGCTGCCAGGAGGCGTCGGAGGGCGAGCAACCGCTCAGTTGCTCAAGGCAGGCCCGGACAGCGCCGTCCATGGCCATCAAGGAGGCGGTGTGCGCGGTTGGCGGCACCACGCGCGCGGAGTAACCCAGCTTGCAGAAGGATGCACGCTGGCGCAAGAGTCTTGCCGCAAGAGGTGCAGCGCTACCTGCGCGTTTCCGAACCTCCCAAAAACTTCGAGCAGCGCGCCGGCGCGCGCGATCCGCTGCTTAGTGTGCTCCGCGCAGGAGTCCGCGTCCCCCACTGGCGCGCCAAGCTGCTCGAAGCTGCGATCGGTGCAGAGGCGGAAGCCCGGCGAGAAGCTGCCCACAGACACGTCAGAGGCGTCTCCCCGCCAGCGGGGGCCGCCTCACACTTGCCCGGGCCGGTGGTCAGCTGGAGGCCCACCGCGGCGAGGTCGGCCACGAGCAGGTGGAGGAGGCGCGCGACGGCCACTGGCCAAGTTTAGGTCGGGCATGTCCCCCTACAGGCGAATGTTCGACGAAACATTTTGAAAATGGTTTATAAGAACATCCCCAAATAGTCAAAAAATAGTCACAACATCTCGTCCCCGGACTACTGTTTGTATGTTTGTACATTCCTCCTGTACAGGGGCAGGCCCGACTTCAGGCCAACAAGAAAAAACTCCCACCGACGGCGCCGTCGGCGCCGTGGCGCGGCGCGCAGAAAGCGGCCTGGGCGGCGTGCAAAGGGCGGCCTCGGCGGACCGGGCTCGAAGAGGTGCGTGCCGAGAGCGGGGTGCCGCGGCGGGGTTTCCCGTGACCGCCGTCGTCGCCCCCGCAACCCGCCACACGCGCCCCACCCTGAACTGTCACGACGGATAAGAAATATGTGGGGGAAAAAACCCAAGAAAAACACACTGTGGAAAAAGAAAAAGAAAAGCACAAAAGCACACACAGTGTGTGTTTAAAACGAAACAGAAAAACACGCAGTGTGTTTTTCTCTTTCTGTTTTTCCCACAGTGTGTTTTTGTTGTTGTTGCTGTTGTTGTTGTTGTTGGTGTTGTTGTTGTTGTTGTTGTTGTTGTTGTCGTTGTTGTTAGTTTTCTCATTGTGTTGTTGTGTTGTTCTTTTTCCCACAGCGGTCGGCATTTTGAGGCAACTGGAAGCTGGTCTTCGGGGGGGCAACGTCGCAACGGCTGGACGCAGCTCGGGAAACTAGCGCTTGGACCCTGGGAGCGGTCGGAGGACCGATGTTGAGATGCCGTTGGCTCACTCTGCCTTCCTCCGATGAGGGAGGCGGGTCATGGACCCCACGGGACGGCTCGAGTTTGCAAAATAGTCACTGCAGCGAGGAAAATCAAGCCAGTGCGCAAACACCGCCCGAGACATGAGAAAACGAGCCCAACATTCCTGACCACTGCTCCGTTGGACAAGGGCCCTGCGTGCACCGTCTGCAACACTGGCCAACCACCATGTCGACTACGAAATGGGCATCTCTCTGACCATCGCCTTCCCGCGACCCGCGCCCTCCCGCGGCCCAGGGCGGGCCTGATCAGAAGGCTTAGGTCGGGCGTGTCGGCCTTCTCCAGAGGCGCGGAGGGCTCCTCTGACAAGGCCCTGGGGGCTTCTTCGAGAAGTCCCGTCGCCTCCTGAGGAGGCCTGCCCCCTTGCATTAAGTCGGGCCTGTCCTCCTATGGGGGGAGGTGGACGAAAAAATAACAAATAGTCAACAAATACCCCAAAGGGACGCCCCCACCCAAAAAAACCCAAAATCGTTCCCACGCTATGTTTTGACTGTTTTTAATACTCCTCCTGTGGAGGGACAGGCCCGACCGAACCCTTGCATTGCCCCCCTCGGCGCGTCTCCGATTTATGCCTGGCTCCCTCTGCTCGAAGCGTGCGGGCGGATCTGTGAGGCGCCAGTCGCCGCGACGTAGCAGAGCATGCCGCAGACTACGACGAGCAGGGAGGTCCCCTTCACCGGGGTGAAGCACTGTGACCTTAGCTGCCCGGGCGCGCAACACGCAACCTGTAGCTTGTTGACACGGAGCTCGACACGCACATTAAAACGTTTGGCGCGATATGTTCGCCGAAACGCGGGCCAACACGCTGAGTCGACAAGCAACATGGGAACACTGACGTTCTTCCCGACCTAGGCTCTGCCTAGAGGGTTCTTACTGTATTTGCTTAAAGGGGCCGGGCAGTGCAAATCGCCCCGGGCGGTTCCCCCGGCATCCGCCCCGCGGTTCCCCCAGTTACGTCCCCTTAGTTTAGCGTTGCTTATCTCATCTTAGCTTAGCTTATTGCATCTTAGCTTAGCTTAGCTTCATCTTAGCTCAGGTGTATCTTAGCTTAGCTTACCTTCATCTTAGCTTCGCTGAGCTTTAGCATAGCAGAGCACAGCATAGCATAGCGTAGCATAGCGCAGCACAGCATATCATAGCCCAGCATAGCATAGCATAGCGCAGCATAGCATAGCATAGTATAGCATAGCGCAGCACAGCACAGCACAACGTAGTGCAGCGCAGCATAGCATAGCGCAGCATGACATAGCATAGCTTAGCATAGCATAGCTTAGCATAGCATAGCGCAGCATAGCATAGGATAGGATAGCATAGCATATCGCAGCATAACATGGCATGGCATGGCATAGCATGTCAAATCAACTAATGCTGCTTTCCTAGGGGCTCCAACTTCTAGGTAGGGTCGCACTGGGGTAATTAACACGGCACGCGTTGCGTTTCACAACGGGCGTATCAGGGCAGCTGAGACTGCGACGGGTCGCGGCCGCAGTACAGGAGGTGGGAGAGGCAGAACACGGCCACGGCCTGCAGGGACTTCAGAAGCCCTGTGGACACTGCGCCGATGCTTGTCAGCAGGTAGAAAAAAGTGGCCGCATGTACAAAGTTGCCAACTGCCAGCCCGCCCAGCAGCAAAAAAGCATGTCCCCATGATGTGCGAGCCTCATCCATGGGGACCGCGATCTTCTCCCAATGGGACGCGGTGTAGGTGCATTGCCACGTGGATGCCACTGCAAAACAAACGATGCCCTGCACGCACGAATTGACATATGGTGGGATCCGTGAACCTCTTACTGAAACAAACTCGCTGAGGACATGACCCAATGAGTGGAGGAGCGCCCCGACAGTAATCATTGCTGCGCCAAGAAAGATTCGCTCTCCCTGGCCCTTGGCCTCAATGCTGGCGATCGCCAGCCCAAGAACCACGACGACGATTCCGCACCACTGCCACAGTGTCAGGACTCTCTTCAAAATCATTCGGGACAGCAGGGCGTTCCAAATTGTCGACGACGAGTAGATGACAGCGCACATGGCGCTCCCTGCCAGAACGTTACCAGTCCTGTTGAGACTCTGGCTGACCACGACGATGACCGCGATGCAGGCGCTGCTGTGCAGCGGCAGCTTCCGAAGCCCCGTGCAGCGGCCGCTCGCCAGAACGCCGGTGCACGCCATCCCGAGGCAGTGCGGCACGAGGTAGATCTGGCACTTGGAAGCGGCCAAGGGGTCTGCCCAGGATGGGCCCCGAGAACATCGGCCAAGGGGGGGGGAGGGTCCGTCCGCGAAGAATCTGATCTCGGACCTCTCCAAGAGCCGAAACCGACTAATCTTTCGAGCCACGTCCAGCCGTGGCGACGAGAGGAACAGTGCTCCTCCTCCTCCTCCTCCTCCTCCTCCGCCTTCTCTTCCCTTCTCCTCCTCTCATCCGCCTTCTCTTCCCTCCTCCTCCTCCTCCTCCTTTCATCCGCCTTCTCTTCCCTCCTCCTCTCCATCCCTCCTCCTATCGTTCCTCTTGCACTTCTCCTCGACATCATGTTCCCCCACTTCCTCCTGCCCATCCTCTTCATCACCTTCACCACTCTCGTGTCCTCCTCTCCTCCTCCTCCTGCTCCTCCTGCTCCTCCTCCTCCTCCTCCTCCTCCTCATCATCATCCTCCTCCGCCTCCGCCTCCGCCTCCGCCTCCGCCTCCGCCTCCGCCTGCTCCTCCGCCTCCTCCTCCCTCCTCCCTCCTCCCTCCTCCCTCCTCCTCCTCAGCTCTGGCCAGAACACTTGCTGGGGCATCTCGGCCCCCCCGCCGGCTCCAGGGTCTGGCAGGCCGGGTCCGCCAGGCCCGCAAACCTCGGCTGCGAACACGAGCAGAGGCAGAGGAACAAACAAAACGAAGCCAACATAATCATCGCAATGATGATTTTTAATACATGATCAATGTATGAATGAATTTATGTATGAACTCATCGTTGTTTTTAATACTGAACCCCTGCATTATTAATACATGATAGGGGGCCACATGCGAACCCTGTCCCTGCCCCCCTACGATCTCTGAGGGGGAGGGGGGGGTCACTTCGCTCGGGAGCCGAGCGAAGTGACCCCCCCCTCCCCCTCAGAGATCGTGGGGGGGCAGGGGCCGGGTTCGCATGTGGCCCCCGAACAGACACAACGAAGCCAACGCAATCCTCGCAGGTCCGCGCGGACTGCGTGGAGATTGGCGCTGGGCCCCCCCTCCCTGGCGCGCGGAGCGAGTCAGGGGCGGCGCCCGAGGCGCCGCCAGAGGGGGGCCCACCGCCGATCCAAGAGCTCCGCGCGGAGCTCCGAACACCCATGTTGATGCAGTCTGCTGCTCCACGAGCCCCAGGAGGCGCCACCGCGCGGCCCGTCACCGCGCGGCCTTGGGACCCTGGAGACTCCAGCCGCCCGAGGCACGCTCGGGGAACGGCCAGAGTGGCCCCGAATCCCGACTGACTCGCCCCGCGGTCAGGCTCCCCCAGAATCGAATCGATGAGTCGGATCGGCGATCGGAATGAATCCGATCGGCGGAAATCGGCAACCGAGTCGGGAAGAGTCGAATCAGCGGGAATCGGCAGCACAGTAGGTCTCCAGTGAAGATCCGGGTCACCAAATCGGAATCCGAAGCCGAATCGAATCGGGAATCGGACGCCATCGAAATCGAACCGAATCGAATCGGAGGAATCGGAATGAGCCCTGCGCCGCGGTGCGGTCACCGCACCGTGTTCGGGGGCCCCCGAACCTCAGCTGCGACATCAGCAACGGCTGCATGACCCCGGTGGCCACGCAAACTGCGGCGGAGGCCGCCACGGGCGCGCCCGCGCGGTGCGGGCCCTCCTTCCCGCACCCCCCGCGCGACAACGGCCGCGCCAGGCTGCCGCCCGCCATGGCTGGGCCGCTGGTCGCCGCGTGTGGCTTGAGCCAAAGAGGCGTCAGGGAAGCGATAAAAAAGAGGATGGCGAGGGGGAGGAGGGAAGAGAAGGCGGAGCAGGAGGAGGAGAAGGAGGAGGAGGAGGAGGAGGAGGAGGAGGAGGTGGAGGAGGAGGAGGAGGGGAGGAGGAGGAGGAGAGGAGGAGGAGGAGGAGGAGGAGGAGGAGGAGGAGGCGGAGGAGGAGGAGGAGAGGAGGAAACGAGAGTGGTGATGGTGATGAAGAGGATGGGCAGGAGGAACTGGGGGAACATGATGTCGAGGAGAAGTGCAAGAGGAACGATAGGAGCCAGTATCGACGAGGACGAGCAGCAACAAAAAACGTGTAGGAGGAGGAGGGGGAGCAGGAGGAGGAGGAGGAGGAGGAGGAGGAAGAGGAGGAGACGAGCGTAGAGAAGGAGGAGGAGGAGGAGGAGGAGGAGGAGGAGGAGGAGGAAGGGCCTTCTGGGGACCTCGGGAGTTCCCCCTGGAAACCTCAGGAGGAGCCATACCCTCGACGCGGTGCCTCTCCTCACGCTCTGGGGCTCTCGGCCCCACCCCTGCTCCCAGATCTCCGACGATGTCCGCCACTCCTCCTCGACTCCTCCGACGGCATCCTCGACCCAACTTGGTCAAATCTCGGCGCTCCTCCTCGACTTGGGCCTCTGGGGCCCGCCCGCGGGCCCCGGAGGCCAGCCGGGGACGGGGCCGGGGCCCCTGCGGCCGCGCACTGACCAAATCCGCCGGCTGCCCCCGCTCGGCGCCACTGCTCGTCTCTCCCGCGGGCCGCCCTGGCCCGAAGAGTGGCCCCCGGGCGCCGACGAGGGAGCAAGGCGAGGCGCCCGCGGCAAGCGAGGGTCCTGTCCCTCTTCCCGTCGGAGAGCCGGCGGGCGAGGACAAGTTGGGATTGGGCGCGAATTGGTGGGGGGCGATGCGTGGGGGGCAGCGAGGGCCGCAGAAGAGAGGCCCTCTATAAGGCCCCATGAAGGGCCCCAAAGGAGGCCTTCAGGGCCCGAAAAAGAGCACCCGTCTTCCCCCCTCCCTCCCCGTCTTCGCCCTCCCATGAACCCCAAATGGCATTTGGTTTTGAACCCCCCTGATCTCTCGGCGGCGCATGAAGCTGGTCCTAAAACCCCCTCGTCGCGGCGGGGGATCTTGAAGACACAACATCTAAACATCTATTTTGGTTGCTCATTTCCCCAGCGGCAGCTGCATTCGGAAGGACCGCATGGCATCTAAACTTCCGCCCTGAATCATATGTGTGTTGCAGCGCTTTCGTACAGAAAATAAATACGAATAGACATGCTTCACACATAGATACGTTGAGATACGATGTCTTACTTCTTTGGATACGGAAGGTATGTTTTCTTCCACATTTTAGATACGGGGCCATTTTTCGATGCGAATAGATATGCTTAGATATGTTCAGATACGGTTCAGTATGGCGCCCATCGCTGGAAAACATATATACCGAACATATATATACGAATACATACGGTGCCATGTTTCCTGCGCACGCCCACGATCGATCATTCTCGCTCCTCGCTCCTCCTGGATCCTCCTCATCCGCCCTCCTCGGTGCTCATCTTCGTTTCTTTCGCCACATACTGAGTGGGGTTCTTGTTCCCCGAATCCTGAGTGGGGCTTTTGTTTTCCTAGAACACCCTCTCCTGTTCCTTCTCCTCCTTCTCCTTCTCCCGCCTCCCTACTATACCATACCAATGCATAGCATACCAATACCACGCCGACCCACCATACCATAACTACCACACCACACCTACCATACCATACCCACCATACCATACCTACCATACCATACCAGACTTACCATATCATGTCAAACGATGCCATACCAACCAAACCAACTATACCAAACCTCTCCTCTTCCTCCCCCTCCTCCTCGACTCCTTCTCCTCCTCCTCCTCCTACTCCTCTTTGCTCTCCCCATCCCACGGGTCCCTGTTCCTACAAAGTTCTCTCCTAAATTTTGTTTCGTCGTTGATATCCATCATACTCCTCGTCGTTTTTGTCGTCGTCGCTCGCCTCCTCACTCCTCATCGCTACGGCATCCCATTATCCTCGTCCCGTTGGTCATTGCTTCGACCAATATCATGGATCTTGTTCGTGCCGGGAGCACAGCCAACTGCATTCGTTCTGACAAACATTAGATACGAAGAGATTCGGCGCGGCACTGCCATTCTTGGAAAATAGATACGGAGATATATACATACATATATATATATACATATCATGTATATGTGTATATATATGTACGTTTTCTGGAAGAAAAATAATTACGGTCCCAACATTTTAGATATGCTTGAACATACATACGTTTAGATACGGCGGCGCTCCCGCGCAGGCCGGGGGCGCGCATCTAAACATAGTATCTATATTGTCGTCGTTGCAGAAACATAGATACGATGGATTTCTCGCCTGCGCCAGGGCGCGATCGCATCTAAACGCATCTGTTATTTTTAGATACGTATTGCAGGGAATTGGGCGAGCTGGGCAATGCTCCCAGACATGCGACATCCTGTTTTTTTCAGGACGGCGACCCCGGTAGTCCTGACCCTTTCCCCGGGGCCGGTTTTTCATCCTAAGTCGTTTCTTGACGATCCCGGGGCCCGGCAAGGGCCCCCAAGGGCGTAACATACTAGAAGACTTGCCGTCCTGATTTTTTTCTAAAGACCCTTGTGTCGGCGGTGGACCAACCTCCCTTTCATAAACATTCCTTTAGCGAAAACGGCCTGGGACCGAAACCTACGGACCTGGACCCGCAAAAATGTCGGCCGCGACGCCCTATCGCGAACCGAAATAAGCCAATTCGCCAATTGACGTGTCAGGGTAGCCCAGAGATCCGACGCCGTGATTTTTTCAATATGGGGTCCCCGGAAGTCTCGACCCATTCCCCAGGACTGGCTTCTCATCCTGAGTCGTTGTTTGACAATCCCGGAGCCCGGCGAGGGCCGCTAGAGGCCGAAAACCTAGCAAAACCTCCGTTCTGATGTTTGTCCATACGTTGGAGGTCTGGGGTAGGATTATGTCGGGCGTGTCCCCTACAGGAGGATTTTCGACGAAAAATTGAGAATACCCCAAAAATGTATTAAAAAGGTAAACAAAAATACTCAAAAAATAGTCCCTGGACTATTTTTGCATTATTTTTTGATTATTTCTAGAGTATGTTTTATTTTTCGTCAAAAATCCCCCAGTAGGGGAACAGGCCCGACGTAAGGGTAGGACCTAGGAGGTTTATCGACCTCC